CATCAATCATAGCAACATCCTATAACCAGGATACAGACCTAACCGGTCACTAACATAGCATCATCCTATATACCAGGATACCGACCTAACCAGGTCACTAAGCATATCACCATCCTAACTACCAGGATGTAAATCAATAAGCATATCATGCAATAACCCGGATACAAATCCGATAAGGGCCGACATTGGTGCCTTAGACCATGTTGATATAGTGAGGATAACTTACCTCTCAACTGACGGATCGAAGTGATAAACTCAAACTCTCGAACCACGGCCACAAACTCCACCACCTATATTTACCATAAAATCATTTCCATAAATTTCCAATTTACCAAAATACCCCAGAAGTCAACTAGTCAATCCTTGGTCAAAGTCAAGGTCAACAGTCCATGTTGACCCCGACTCGTCGAGTGCAGTTCACCGACTCGTCGAGTCCTTTCTGAACTCGAGAAGTCGTGAAATCCCCAGTTGACTCGTCGAGTTACCTTGTAACTCGCCGAGTTCATGCATGTCCAAATGTCGGGAAAACCCTAGCTGACTCGACGAGTCACCCTACTGACTCGCCGAGTCCATGCAGAACTCCTATCATGACAATCTTCATCGGACTCGCCGAGTTGGCCATGCAACTCGTCGAGTCCCTTCAGTCATTTCTTCATTTAGATGCTTTTAAGCCACCCCAAAGCTCCATATTGCAGATCAAGCTCCCCAAGGCATGTTTATCACGTAAAGTTGCGAACTTTACATGCATGCAAAGCTATAAAGGCTTAGAATATCAAATCTAAGCTTATAATGGGGTTTAACTCAAAAGGGGAGGTTCATACTTGCCAAAGATGGAGACTTTATAGCTATAGAGACCAAGATAAACTCAGATCTGAAGTTGCAACTTCAGATCCTAACCCATACTCAAAAATTGCTAATATACATGCTAGGAAAGCCCTAATCTCAAACATGCATAGATCTAGATAGGAGAAGGTTAAGGTAACAACTTGTTACCTTCAAACTGATTCCAATAGGGTCAGATCCACTAGCTCCTCTTGCACCACTCCTCTTATATTTCAGGTGGTCTTCTTGCAAATCACCTTCCAAGCTTGAAAATCACACAAGAATGGAGTACACACACAAATTAAGGTTTCTGGACTCACAACAGCTGCAAGGGGCGGCTAAGGGGCAAAGGATCCTTTAAATAGGGTGCAAAACCCCTGGGATTAGGGTTTCTCATTCCAGCTCCAATTTGCCGAGTCGGGTTCACCGACTCGTCGAGGTGGTCACTTAAACCACGTGGCCATCGCGTCCCTACTCGATGAGTATAGGCACCAACTCGTCGAGTAGATATTATGATATAGACATAAAGCTGTAAAGATATATACCTGGGAGTCAGGGTGTTACAAGATGTTTATAAAGGCAACTTTTTGTAAACAACCTTAATTTTGTCTGTATACATTGTAATCCACTGTAGAATCATAATTATTTTTGTGCAATCTTCTTCCCTGTCTTACAGCTCAAATCCCCTTTTTTCATAAACCAATTCCTACGGAGTCATAAATAATAAATAAATAATCATAATCATGGCAATCTCAGTTAACGGAGAGCAATCCATATTGTCTATCTTGCTCATTTTTAAGAAAATGGGATTTGGCGGGAAATTGCGGGGTTTAGTTAAACCCTCCCGGCAAATCAGAAGGTTTCCATTTGCTAAGAAACCAAAAGGTTGCAATTGATCAAATGTGCTGGATCGTTCAGCAGGAAACGCAGTTAAAATTCACAATAGGAACCCTGATGTTGGACGTATCGTCGTCTTCACCATCAACTGCTTTTCAAAGGTAATGCAGTACTCCTTTTGGGTTATTCATGAATGTAACAATTCATTTAGGATGGGTTTGCGTTAAGGGTTTGTGTATCTATGTTTTTATTATTATCATTTTTTTTGTGTGTGAAATGGTTGTTCAATTTTGCATGTTTAACTAAATTTGATCTGTATTGTGATTGTAAATGTTGGTATGTTCAGTGTTTTTGGGTATAACTTAGTTTGAATCACTGAAGTTTGTATGATTTAGGTTTGTTTTTGAGGCACAAATATTTCTCTAACACGACATAAGTTACACGAGTTAGTAAAAGCACAGCCAACTGAATGTGTGTATTGGTTTATATTGAATGTTAAATTTTTGATCCATTTGCCTAAAAGTGGCTTAATTTAGGTTATATATTATCTCCAACTGATCCAATATTTAAAACTTAGAAACTTGGTCAAGGGTCAATACTTTATCCAAAGCGTATTCACTTGCTTACGACCTCATGAATGTTTTATTAAAAATATTTCAACAGTATAGCTTTTGTAATCATATCAATTACTTTGTTATTTTCTAGAAGTCCATTAGATTCCAAGTGTCATTAGTATCTAAGGCATTCATTTCTTCTATACCATAGTATGCATAAGCAACTGATGATGAAATAGGATAAATACATTGTATTTTACCTTCACAAACTACATATAGAAGATCGAGATCACTCTGGTTGTGGGATATGACAGGGATGAAGTAACCCGAGGAGGATATGATGGAAGAGGATCTGATGGTGAACATGAAGAAAGAGGTCTTTCTTGCCTAGCTAGAGTAACTTTCATGTTTTTTATATTTGTTGATGTTTAAGGTGGAGCATAATATATAGAGCAACAAATCATCATTCTCCACTTAATAAGGAGTAGAGGTAGAGATAGATAAAGGAATATGTTCATAGAAAATAACATGAGTTGACACACTCACACAAGGTATTTGCGAAAAGTAGGAGAATAACAACAATAACTTTTTTGTCATCTAGAATATCCTAGGACATTTCAATGGCTTAGGGGTCAAACTTGGTGGATTGAGGTTGAACACAAAATTGTTTTCCTTTCATGTGAAACTGAAGTGCTCTAGGAGTTTTGTATGTCTGATTTTCCTTTCACCTACTCCATTTTGGGGTATCAACACAAAACAATTGATGAAGATACCATTTGAGATCATATTAGTCTGAAAGGATGTTAAGAAAGATTATTTTGCATTATCAATACTCAAAATATTAAATCGAGTCTTTACTCAAAACATGACAACTTGGAATTACTTTTTATTAAGTGAAGATAAAATAGTTCTTAAAAAGTCATCAATAAAAGTTACAAATTGTTTTATTCAGGTTGGGGATATCAATGGATAAACACACAAATATTGGAATGAACTACCTCAAATGGAGAATTATCTCATCTATTAACTCTAAGAAAAGAACTCAAACGAAGATGCTTAGCAAAAAGACATACTTACAAACTATAAAAGATATAATTTTTTCAATAGACGTGAAGAGGGATGACTTTATTGACAATGAGCTTCAAAGGGAGTAAGAATTCTTGAACAATCAATAGGCCTCATCAATATGGCATCTTGTTGTTCACTTTGATAAAACCGTTTGCAACATGAACATCCTCATGTTGGAGATCTTGAGGAACAGAGCAATCAACTATTTTTCTTATCTAGTGTTATGTGTATGTGTATAGTGTATTTGTATCTATATATGCATGTGTGTATGATGATATATATTTTGTATATGCTTTGTGTATGTGCATATATGTATATAATTTATGTATTTATATGGGCATGTGATTATGTATGTATATGGTTTAAGTTCTTGGCTGTAATGAACACCATAAAATATAATGACAAGCGTGGAATGTTATATCTTTGCTGCTTTTGTATACCAAATACATAAATATATTAACCTTGGTTTTTCAATTCAAGTTTTTTTTTTATATACTTATTATTTTTTGTTACAAACAAGCTATATAAATGAAAATTATTGTTTGAGCTTCAAACTGATTGAAAGTTATTGTCTAAACAGGAATCACTATAAATTTGATTGGAAGTTTGTAACTTTATATCCTTGGTCTTTCTCTCCTAAGGTTGGTATGGAATTTTGCAGCTTTATTTTCTTTATTTCAAAAAGTGTATAGTTTAGGTCGTTTAATTAAAAGCAGCTTGACTTTCTTGAGTCATCTCAATAGTATATTAGCTTAAAATCAAAAAAATTCAACATTTGTCCCTACACATTTGATACATAATATACTTTGCAAATGGTTTTGGTATTGATGTATCTGTTGATTTTTAGCTAATATACTTTGCAATGACGTGGTGTTGTTGTATTAAACCAAAATGTTGATGAGATGACTCAAAAAAATAAATTGAGCTCAATTAAAAGGCCAAGTGTTTATGGAAAAAAATATATAATTTTAAAAGTACATTGCTATTTTATGACATTATCACTAAGGAAAAATATTCTTCTTAAAAATATTTAGGACCGGTAGCTCATATTTTTTTTAAAACATTTTCAAGTGAAGGAACAAAAAAGGGATGTAATGATTAATTAAAAAAGATGAAAACATGATAAAGTTTATTTATTTTAGGCAAAAGAAAAAGCCAAAAAGGCTTGTTCTTTACAACATAGTTGCATCTTGTAAATATCATCTCTTTGGAATGATACCAGTGAGAAAATAAGTTAACTTTTGCTTAAAACTTGATAAAAATGTTTGGGATGTCTTATAATGGAAACTCTATGCATTTTCATGGGAGAGATGAGATTGTGACAATTTGTTTATAAAAGTATTTCTTCAATCAAGCATTGCATTCTTTATGGGACACACATACCTAATGTATTAATCCTCCTAGATACACACTCATGTGCTTAATTGTTACTATTTATTTTTTTCTCTGTTATCGCTTCTTCTCTATCTTAATTACCCATTTCCCTTGATATTAATGTTGGACCCACCTCTAATGCATAAAAAACCATCATATTTCCTAATAGCATGCATATATATATATATATATATATATATATATATATATATATATATATATATATATATATATATAAGAACTCAATCCTCTTTGATCTTTCACAAAACATTCCCTCAATGATCTTACCTTCATATTAAGACAATTCTTGTTTTACATTCTCCTTACTCTCTTTCATCAAAAAAAATGAGCACAACTAATTCATTTGGAAGATCCACACAATCTATTAGAGCGAAAGATATATGCATATTGCTCGTGAATGATGATCATGTTTGTTGTAATATTGTATCCAATATGCTTGATCACTGTCGTTATGAAGGTACCAAAAAGAATTTTTTGTGATTTTCTCTTTATAGAATCTTATATGATTTCATGCTAAATGTAATTGTATGTTCTTTATTCATAATTTATCTTGATATTCCTTTAGGATATGCAAATTATGAACTTTATGAGTAAAACCTTAATAAAAGTATTAATCTCTTAAACTTTTTTTCTTATAGTTTTTAGCTACGAAAAAGAAATGGATGCACTAAGTATAATCCGGGAGAAGAAAGACACACTGGAAATAATCTTGACAAATGTTCATCGAACATATGCAAAGAAGTATGGGATCATTGATCATATAGAAAAGGAATTTAAACTCCAAATCATTTGTAAGTTTACCTTCCTTTTTTTATTTTTGCTTCTGTGTTCATACACCAAATTCTTACTAACTTTTCAGATTTCTTGTTTAGTTTAAGATAAAAGTTATTGAATTTTTGAGCCATCAATGCCAAGAAAACAGATTTTGCCAAATAGGTCACATATTTTGTATAAAGAATAACCTGGTTTTATAAAAATGATGTAGTGATGTCACCGGATGTTGATGATATAAAGAAGGTTTCAGAGGGTGGTGGAAATGGTGTAACTGTGTATATATTGAAATCTTTAAGTGTGAAAGAAGTTAATAATCTTTGGGCAAATGCAATGGCACAAGAAAAAAGTAAAAGGGAAATATCATCGTCATCGGGGAAATCAGGAGATAAAAGAAAGATAGAAACTGATGAGGAAAATGGAAATGTAGAAAAGAAAACGAGGATTGTTTGGACAAAGGAGATGCATCAAAAGTTCTTGGACGCCATTGATCAATTAGGGAATGATAGTAAGATAATTCTTCTTGATTTTGATGCTTTTTCTTGACAAAATTCTATTTTTCTTATTGAGCTTTATGTTCTTCCAACAGCTATTTTTTTACGGGTTGTAATGAGTTTGCCCTTTGTGAAATGATTTTGTTTTAATGATTACTAAGGGCAAATCCGTCATAAAATGTTGTGCTTTAATTATATTTATTTCTTTGTTTTGGGATTCAGAAGTTGTTCCAAAGAAGATAGCTGAACTTATGAATGTTCCAGGATTGACAAGAGAAAATGTGGCTAGTCATTTGCAGGTTTGTTGTTCTTCAACTTTCAAAAACTCATTCTCGAGTTTTTTTTTTATCTATACTTTATAATTTTTATAGTTTGAGATTTTATTTGGACAGATAATAAGAAGAAAAATGGAATTTAATTACGCATGCTTCGTTGTGATTACCTGTGAGCATTTAAAACTAGAATATCTTTTGATTAATTACAAGGATTGCGTTTACCACTTATAGAATCTGGAAATATACACAATTAATAGTCATTAAAAATTGAGATTTGTCGTAAATGATAAGAGTGATTAGCAACATACTTTCATTTATATATGTATAATAGCATCCTACTTGTATCAATTTTTATTACAACGTTGTTCTTCCAATTTCTTTTCTGATTAAGGCATTGAAGTTTGAAAAATCTGCCCACTTATGGCATTGTACTTCTAGTTTTTTTTTTTTTTTTGTATGTGTGTTAATATGGCATTATACTTTTAAAAATTGGTTTGTATTTGGACCATATTGCAATAATTTGGTAGATCTTTCAAAGTAGAATGTTGTAATAGGAAGTAATGAAGTAAGATGCTATAATTAATAAACAAATCAATGAAAGTACATTGCTATTTCTTGCATTCAACCCTATTTCAAATTCATTTGCAGAAGTATCGGATATGCATGAAACGAGCTCAAGGAGTGTTTACAAGTTCTTCATATGATTTCACTGACCCTTTCAATTTCAACCCTTCACAAGCAAATTCTCAAGAATCCCATTGGAATCCTTTTCCAATAAGATCAAGAAACACTACTCCAAGCCTATTCAGTTTGAACTGTTATGAATCAAGATTAAGGACATTTCCAAATATGCCCCTACTAAGCAAAATCCAGTTGAAACCCGACCGTAGTTTTAGGGTTTGTGGCAATGAAAAGAAAAACATCCTTTTAAGCATTGAAGACAATAATAGGATATGCTCGGATTCAAGTTTTGCTGGTTTTAGATTAGCTAATGATGGAAAGTCTATTCAGTTTGGGCAAAATGGTCATTTTGATGATGGTGGTGTGAATAAGAGTTACATTCAGCAGCATGATTTTTGTCCAGAAATGGGAAATGACGATTCCACCCTTGGGCCAGAAAGAGACGACTGGATGTCTTCCGTGGCCAGTCTTCTAGGTGTTGATGACAACTTGCCATCCATTTTGACTCAGCAGCAACCACCTACACTGTCTCACCAGAACAAGGTGGCTGCAACCACCATGACTCAGCCACCACCATCTGTTGGGCTGCAGTGGAGTGACTGGGCGGAGCCGCCCGGTTTTTCTCCTCAGCAGCCACCACCACCACCAGGAAACGAGGTCAATGACAACTTTGAGATTTTTAGTGATTTCATCTCACCGGGTCTTTGTGAATTGGGGAAGGGAATTGATGAGAATGGTGTTGATGCAACTGGGATATGCGGTTTTGATGACTTGCTGTTTAATAATCAGGATTTGACTTGATTCAATAGATATGTAGTTTGTTTTGACTTTTTTGGAGACAAATATGTAAATACTAACTTTATATATTATATTGGTGATTTATGTACACGTGGTGTATTTCCCCAGAGTTTTGTTATCATTAAGCAACTTGTGTGCATGTAATGTTCTTATATAATACTCCACCAAAGAAGTTAAACATTACTCATCAGATTAATAACGAAATGATTTGCTTATCAATTTATTTTTGGCTATGTTCCAATTTCTGTAGGGAAATTAAACTATGGTGCACTCACACTTCTTCACTTGTTTATGGCCTTAAATCCTTTTTTGGTACCCGTATGAAACTCAATTACCTAAAATGTTCCATGACATTAAAATCATTAATAGTTTTATAGGTGACAATTCTCGATACGAAAACACAAGAAAAAAAAAACTGGGTTTGAGTTGAGTTTTTCTAATCCTCCGACCCGTTTATTATACGGGTTGTGTTCGGGTTTGCAAATAATTTTGCAGGTTACCCATTTAATTTATTAGAATGAAAGAAATAAAAAATATTCTTATTAAATAAAGGAGAGAGAATAAAGTTTAATAAGTAAATATGTCATATTTAGACTTCTTTTCCCTTGGCCGATTTTGCCCTAGGTCTAAATCACATATTCAATATTCACATTCTCGCAACCATTAGTTCTCAATCTTTTACAACGATTCAAACTTCAGTTCAAAATTTACGCATCAAGCATTCAAGAATCAAGCAATCAAACAATTCAAGATTTACGCATCAAGTCTTGAGTCTCAAGACTCACACATCAAGCACTAAAGCTCAACCCATCCATCGAACATTGGGCCCACAAATCCAAATCTGACTCACAAACAATTGTGACCCACGAACCCGTATAATTAAACGGGTTACATGGTTCGTGTCTGGGTTGAGCTTTCTGACCTGTCAATCCGAACATAAAACGATTGCCACCCATAAATAGTTTATTACATAAACTAATCAACCAAATAAGTAAAGAACTAAATGTTAGATAAACCAATGAAAATGATAACAAATAGATCATCAATAGGGATCAAACGAGGCCGAGGGGTACTTGAAGGCATCCCATGAAATGGTGATTTGGCTACTGATTCGATATAAAGTTTAATTCTTATAAAAAAAAAAGGTTCAAATGGATTTTTGATGGGCTATGGGTTTTATAGAATCTCTAATAAAAGCTTAATTTAATTAAAAATTATGGAATACTCAACATGCGTTTGTAATGATATTGCTTTTTTAATACGTAATAGTATCAAATACTCGACGTCGTTTTGTTTACTAGACTTTTTATATTGCCAAATTATTTTTGATTTTTTTAATGGAGCATATTATAAAAGATTTCTAAATTTTGATAATTGTAATTTAGAAAATAAATGTTTTGTCATTGTGTTTCGATTTTAGCTTCTAAACAAATATTATTTTATATAATTTTATTTATTTCAAAAGCTTCATGTTGTTATTTGTTCTAAACTTAAACTTATAATTTTCAGCAATCAACTAAAATTTTCTGAATAGCCTCCTGGATGATAGATCTGTCCCTAAAGTCGAAATAGTACTTTTTCTCATTTGGGTAACGGTGGATCATTTAAATAAATGATCTGAATATGGAAATATATCTCATTTTAATAGACTGAATAGTATATTTTAAAAGATGAGGGGGGTAAAGCAAAACTTCATAGACATCGTATACAACTATACATATACGCCAATTGAGTGTAACTTTTCATGGGGAAATCAGCGAGGCTACGTTGAAGATATTGGAAGAAGGACAATATCAACGTAAGATTGCCCAGAAACGGATTAAATTTGAAGAAACCATGGAGAAGGGGAAGAGGATGGAATCAGTGCACTGCCGGATTGCTTGCTTCTTGAAATCCTCTCTCGTTTACCCTCCACACAAGACGCCATTAGAACAGGTGTCCTCTCCAAGCGATGGGAACATCTTTGGGCTTCCGTACATACTCTGATTTTTACAACCCCAGATCAATGTTTCAAAAACCCTAACTTAAAGTCCGATTTTGCATTATTGGTCGACAAAACCCTAACTCAATGTCGCCAACTGAAGCTCAAGAAATTCGAAGTGCATACCTTTTATGACATCCGATTTGAATCACTTGTCAACAATTGGATTCGTTATGCTATAAGCTGTAACGTTGAAGAGCTTAACTTATACATTTGGGAGGGGGAAGCTGAGTTTCTGTTGAATGAATTTATATTCATCAATTCATGTTTTACTGATCTGAGACTATCAGGATGCAAATTGAATCCAAGTGGGGCAATTAGTTGGGAAAATCTTAGGAGTTTGTGTATTTCTATGGTGTATTTAGATGAAGACTTGATTGCAAATATAGTATCTGGGAGTCCTCTTTTGGAAACTTTGGTGTTTCAGGATTGCAGGTGGCCCAATATTACTTCAGATGATGAATTTGAATTTGAATTTGAATCTGAATTTGAATCTGAATCCGAATCCAATGATATCATGGAAATCTGTGCTCCTACTAGTTCATCACTAACTCAATGTCGCCAATTGAAGCAGCTCAAGTCATTCAAAGTGTATACCGGTTATAAAAATAAATTTCAATCGCAACTCAACAATTGGATTCGTTATGCTATAAGATGTAACATTAAAGAGCTTGACTTGTTGTTTACGAATAACGAATATGAAGATGAGTTTGTGTTGGATCAAATTGTTTTCACCAGTTCATATTTGACTGAGGTTGGATTATATGGGTGCATGGTTAATCCAATTGGGGCGATTAGTTGGAAAAGTCTTAGGAGTTTGTGTCTATATTGGTGTCAGAGTTTAGATGAAGATTTGATTGAAAACATATTATCTGGGAGTCCTGTATTGGAAACTTTGCTGTTGAGTCATTGCTATGGTTATAGGCGGCTCGATATTACTTCAAAGAGTCTTAAAAATTTGGTGTTATCTGGATACATGGCTCCTCATGCTGAATCGGAAGTCGATATCATGGAAATCAATGCTCCTAATATTTTATCACTAACAATCCGAGGTGGAACTTTTTTGTGTAAGCTTTTGTTGCTAGATGTGTCTTCTTTAGTCAAAGCTCATTTAAATTATTCTTGTACAAAGCTCGAGCATCATGAGGCAACGCCTAATGATGCGGAACAACAGATGCTTGAAGGATATATAATGAATCTTCGCCATGTCAAGGAGCTTCAACTTGGGTATTTATGTTCTAAGGTAAAATTTCTTTTGCTTTTCCATTTCGGATACACTTGTTTCAATCAATGCTCATAATATTTTTTTATCACTTTTGTTGTCTTTTTCTTCTTTGGTTTGTAGGTTCTTTCCTGTTTGCAAGCTAAAGGTTTTGTTTCTCCATCAAATGTGAAAGCTTAGCGGATGGAGTAATTAAGATGATATAGGGAGCTGCTCTTGCATGATCATGTGATCCAGGAGGTTAATTTATTGGTGATGCTTTGAATTCATTTAAGTTATTTTCATTTTTTTTTTCGGATACGTTTTTTAAAGTACACTTGGTTACATTATTAGGCTGTGGATAATTTCTTATGTCAAAATATTTATCCATTTACCATTTCATGTTATGGTGAATTATTATCAGTTGCTACGCCAAAGCATCTATTGTAGTTTTGAGGCTTCATATTTGATGCTAATATCTCTTTCTCTATGAGTTATGGCATTTTCTTTAGTAAACTGGATAAATGTTTCGACCAAAAATCCTAAATGTGTGAAAATTTCAGTTTTTTTTGTCATTATCTGTAAACAATTCCTAGTATGTTGTCATTTTCTGTTCATAAAAATAAAGTTTAATGAGCCCTGAATATTGGTACTTTTTCTGAAAGTTTTCCTTTTTTATTAATCCTAAATAACCTTTTTTAACCACCTGTCATTATTTATTAATGCAGTCAAGACGAGAAAAACTCACACGTTATAATATAATTATAGATACCCTTTGAGCATATATTGGAAAACTGTACTTAGAGAGTATTCTCATCTGTGAACAATACTATGTTAGAAATGGTATTGTAATAAGAAAGTGTGGTAACTATCAATGCATTGTTTGTTTGATACTCGATATAATGAACAATGTCTCACCAGCCATTTATCATTGCAAGGTAGGTGAAACATGTGATGACATTGTGGAAAACACCTAAAGGTTTCTCCATGTTGAACGTACTAATTTAAAAAAAAGTCAAAATGAAGTTCATAAATCTTGACCATTAGATTTCTGCCAAATAGAAAATTGATGCCACCTATCAGCTAGAATCATGGAAATGGTTGATTTTAGAACAATAGCTTGGATGGAAATGTATAAATTTCTATTTACAGATTGGCATGCTTGACTGATAAATGTCAACAAGCATTCAACTTGCCATTGATTCGAGTGTTTATTTTTCGAATGGTAGGATAAAAGATGAAAGCTAAAATAGAGAAGCTTTCATCTTGTCCGAGAGGCGGAGCCAATTTTTTAATAAGGGGTTGTACAGTTATTAAAGTACTAGGTATGCGACCCGTGTATTACACGGGGTTATTTTTTTCTAAAAAAATTAATATATTTTCTTAAGCATTACATGTTTAATAATTTACAAAACTGAATTTGGAAAGAATATTAATATTAGCTGTGAATGAGCCAATTTTTGCAAGGTTTTTGCAAATTATCGTGAATTCAAAAGGGATTGGCTGAAAACTATGTTTTCAATTAGGAAAGTTTATTTGAATTTAAATTGAATTTAATACGTTAATTGACAAATTATCAGAGAAATTATAGAGACGTTTAAGTTTCCTTATTTTCTTTATTATATTTTTAGATTAGATTTTTTTTATTATATAATAAAAAAACCAAAAACACCACAATTTGCCAAGTGTATTTAAATGAAATTGAAAAAATTAGAAAAATAACATGTGTCGTATTGAATTAGATGATGACATGTGACAAAAAAATCTTCATTTATTAGGTAGGATATTTTATCATCGAATAATGTAATAAATTATTCAAAT